ATGATCTGGGGAGAGTGATGTTTTATGATCTGGGGAGAGTGATGTTACATGATCTCTTGGGGGAGTGATGTTACATGATCTGGGGAGAGTGATGTTACATGATCCCTTGGGAGAGTGATGTTACATGATCTGGGGAGAGGGATGTTACATGATCTGGGGAGAGTGATGTTACATGATCTCTTGGTTGAGTGATGTTACATGATGTGGTGAGAGTGATGTTACATGATCTCTTGGGAGAGTGATGTTACATGATCTGGGGAGAGTGATGTTACATGATCTCTTGGGAGAGTGATGTTACATGATGTGGTGAGAGTGATGTTACATGATCTCTTGGGAGAGTGATGTTACATGATCTGGGGAGAGAGATGTTACATGATCTCTTGGGAGAGTGATGTTACATGATCTCCTTGGAGAGTGATGTTACATGATCTGGGGAGAGTTTTGTTACATGATCTGGGGAGAGTGATGCTACATGATCTGGGGAGAGCGGTGTTACATGATCTAGGGAGAGTGGTGTTACATGATCTCTTGGGAGAGTGATGTTACATGATCTGGGGAGAGTGATGTTACATGATCTCTTGGGAGAGTGATATTACATGATCTGGGGAGAGCGGTGTTACATGATCTGGGGAGAGTGATGTTTTATGATCTGGGGAGAGTGATGTTACATGATCCCTTGGGAGAGTGATGTTACATGATCTCTTGGGAGAGTGATATTACATGATCTGGGGAGAGCGGTGTTACATGATCTGGGGAGAGTGATGTTACATGATCTGGGGAGAGTGATGTTACATGATCCCTTGGGAGAGAGATGTTACATGATCTGGGGAGAGTGATGTTACATGATCTCTTGGGAGAGTGATGTTACATGATGTGGGGAGAGTGATGTTACATGATCTCTTGGGAGAGTGATGTTACATGATCTGGGGAGAGTGATGTTACATGATCTCTTGGGAGAGTGATGTTACATGATTTCTTTGGAGAGTGGTGTTACATGATCTCTTGGGAGAGTGACGTTACATGAGCTCTTGGGAGAGTGGTGTTACATGATCTGGGGAGAGTGATGTTACATGAGCTCTTGGGAGAGTGATGTTACATGATCTCTTGGGAGAGTGGTGTTACATGAACTGGGGAGAGTGATGTTACATGAGCTCTTGGGAGAGTGATGTTACATGATCTCTTGGGAGAGTGATGTTACATGATCTGGGGAGAGTGATGTTTCATGATCTGGGGAGAGTGATGTTACATGATCTCTTGGGAGAGTGATGTAACATGATCTTGGGAGAGTGTTGTTACATGATCCCTTGGGAGAGTGATGTTACATGATCTGGGGAGGGTGATGTTACATGATCTCTTGGGAGAGTGATGTTACATGATCTGGGGAGAGTGATGTTACATGATCTCTTGGGAAAGTGATGTTACATGATCTCTTTGGAGAGTGGTGTTACATGATCTGGGGAGAGTGATGTTACATGAGCTCTTGGGAGAGTGATGTTATATGATTTTGGGAGAGTGATGTTACATGAGCTCTTGGGAGAGTGATGTTACATGATCTCTTGGGAGAGTGGTGTTACATGATCTGGGGAGAGTGATGTTACATGAGCTCTTGGGAGAGTGATGTTACATGATCTCTTGGGAGAGTGGTGTTACATGATCTCGGGAGAGTGATGTTACATGATCTGGGGAGAGTGATGTTACATGATCTGGGGAGAGCGGTGTTACATGATGTTGGGAGAGCGATGTTACATGATGTTGGGAGAGTGGTGTTACATGATCTGGGGAGAGTGGTGTTACATGATCTGGGGAGAGTGGTGTCACATGATCTGGGGAGAGTGATGTTACATGATCTGGGGAGAGTGGTGTTACATGATCTGGGGAGAGTGGTGTTACATGATCTGGGGAGATTGGTGTCACATGATGTGGGGAGATTGGTGTTACATGATCTGGGGAGAGTGATGTTACATGATGTCTTGGGAGAGTGGTGTTACATGATCTGGGGAGAGTGATGTTACATGAGCTCTTGGGAGAGTGGTGTTACATGATCTTGGGAGAGTGGTGTTACATGATCTGGGGAGAGTGATGTTACATGATCTCTTGGGAGAGTGATGTTACATGATATCTTGGGAGAGTGGTGTTACATGATCTGGGGAGAGTGATGTTACATGATCTCTTGGGAGAGTGGTGTTACATGATCTGGGGAGAGTGGTGTTACATGATCTGGGGAGAGTGGTGTCACATGATCTGGGGAGAGTGATGTTACATGATCTCATGGGAGAGTGATGTTACATGATCTGGGGAGAGTGATGTTACATGATCTGGGGAGAGTGATGTTTCATGATCTGGGGAGAGTGGTGTTACTTGATCTGGGGAGAGTGATGTTACATGATCTGGGGAGTGATGTCAGTGTACATCTACAAATAGATATTGAGAGGGCGGTGTTACGTGGCATTGCTTGGTGTTTGTGGTTAGTATCGTGTTGAGCTCATAGGTTTGTGTGTGTGTGTGTGTGTGTGTGTAGATGTGTATAAGAGGGTTTGTTTATTGTGTGTGTGTGTGTGTGCGTGCGTGCGTGCGTGCACTATCGTATTAGGGATGTGTAAACGGACAGTGGTTGGTGTGTGTGATTAGAACGTGATATTCATATGGATGCATGTGTACGGCATATCGTGTTTAGTCACAGACGTTTTTTGTGATGTAATTGGAAGAGTGTGACTTTTCGTCCTTTAACATATCGGATTTCCAAAGTCCCTCTATCATATAGAATACAAAATACAAGGTCCTCTGATTCACATGTAAAATACAAGTTACCCTGACTCGCATGTAAATACAAGGTCTCCTGACTCGCACGGAATACAAGTTCCCCTGACTCGCATAAGAATACAAGGTCCCCTGACTCGCATGTGAATACAAGTTCCCCTGACTCGCATGTGAATACAAGTTCCCCTGACTCGCATGTGAATACAAGGTCCCATGAGTCGCATGTGAATACATGGTCCCCTGACTCGCATGTGAATACAAGGTCCCCTGACTCGCATGTGAATACAAGGTCCCCTGACTCGCATGTGAATACAAGGTCCCCTGACTCGCATGTGAATACAAGTTCCCCTGACTCGCATGTGAATACAAGTTCCCCTGACTCGCATGTGAATACAAGGTCCCATGAGTCGCATGTGAATACAAGGTCTCCTGACTCGCATGTGAATACAAGGTCCCCTGACTCGCATGTGAATACAAGGTCCCCTGACTCGCATGTGAATACAAGGTCCCATGAGTCGTGCTGAAAGCGACGTTGGATGGAAGTCTGTACGTTCTGTCACCGTGTTAAGGTCGCATGACAGAGCACTGCGCACCTTATTACCTTAAGATTTATTACATATATCCTGAAATATGTATTGTGCCAGGCTGACCCTATAGGTGGAGATAAGCAGTCAGCAATTCGTGTCTTTCACAGCGTGTAATTGCAGCCTGTAGGACGAGAAGAAAGGCTCCCTGCCAAGGGTGTCTCAGATTACTATCACTGGAATACATCAATGTCATTTGAGATCATTTTCCCAGGAGATCCGGGATTTTTCTGAACAAATTGAAATAATTGATTATTTCATGTTTTTGTATCATTCTTTGTTTTTGAAAACTGTTCGCCGCGGGCTATAATTTGTGATAAATGGGATACCGATAATTGCCAATATTCTTGGTCCACCTGAACGTTTATAGAAATGTGATGGACCTGGAGAGGGTTTAGGCAAACAATGAATTTATTACTCCAAACAACCGAAGAGGACTGTGATCGTGGGGTCCAGTGGATATGACACACAAAAGTGACCAGACTGTCGCAGAACATGGTATGAGTGCAGGGTGACTTGATGACTGTGGCAAAATGAGTTGGAAAGCTTCACGACACTTTTCTGTGGTGTTTTGAATGGCCCAGTGATGGGCAGAGCATTGCTGTGGCGGAGGTCGGCGGATGTAGGGTGATCGGCGGGTGGAGCAGGGTGGTAGGCGGGTGGAGTAGGGTGGTAGGCAGGTGGAGTAGGGTTGTAGGCGGGTGGAGTAGGGTTGTTGGCGGGTGGAGTAGGGTGGTAGGCGGGTGGAGTAGGGTGGTAGGCAGGTGGAGTAGGGTGGTAGGCGGGTGGAGTAGGGTGGTAGGCGGGTGAAGTAGGGTTGAAGGCCGGTGGAGTAGTGTGGTAGGCGGGTGGTGTAGGGTGGTAGGCGGGTGGTGTAGGGTGGTAGGCGGGTGGAGTGGGGTGGTAGGCGGGTGGAGTGGGGAGGTAGGCGGGAGGAGTAGGATGGTAGGCGGGTGAAGTAGGGTTGAAGGCCGGTGGAGTAGTGTGGGAGGCGGGTGGTGTAGGGTGGTAGGCGGGTGGAGTGGGGTGGTAGGCGGGTGGTGTAGGGTGGTAGGCGGGTGGAGTGGGGTGGTAGGCGGGTGGAGTAGGGTGACCAGTGGGTGGAGTAGGGTTGAAAGCAGTTGGAGTAGTGTGATCGGCGGGTGGAGTAGGGAGGTAGGCGGGTGGTGTAGGGTGATAGGCGGATTGAGTATGGTAGTAGGCGGATGGAGTAGGGTGGTAGGCGGATGGAGTAGGGTTGAAGGCGGATGGAGTAGGGTGGTAGGCAGGTGGAGTAGGGTGGTAGGCGGGTGGAGTAGGGTGGTAGGCAGGTGGAGTAGGGTTGTTGGCGGGTGGAGTAGGGTGGTAGGCGGGTGGAGTAGGGTGGTAGGCAGGTGGAGTAGGGTTGTAGGCGGGTGGAGTAGGGTGGTAGGCGAGTGGAGTAGGGTTGAAGGCCGGTGGAGTAGTGTGGTAGGCGGGTGGTGTAGGGTGGTAGGCGGGTGGAGTGGGGTGGTAGGCGGGTGGTGTAGGGTGGTAGGCGGGTGGAGTGGGGTGGTAGGCGGGTGGAGTAGGGTGGTAGGCGGGTGGAGTGGGGTGGTAGGCGGGTGGAGTGGGGTGGTAGGCGGGTGGAGTAGGGTGGTAGGCGGGTGGAGTGGTGTGGTAGGCGGGTGGAGTGGGGTGTTAGGCGGGTGGTGTAGGGTGGTAGGCGGGTGGAGTGGGGTGGTAGGCGGGTGGAGTAGGGTGACCAGTGGGTGGAGTAGGGTTGAAAGCAGTTGGAGTAGTGTGATCGGCGGGTGGAGTAGGGAGGTAGGCGGGTGGTGTAGGGTGATAGGCGGATTGAGTATGGTAGTAGGCGGCTGGTGTAGGGTGGTAGGCGGGTGGAGTAGGGTGGTAGGCGGGTGGAGTAGGGTGGTAGGCAGGTGGAGTAGGGAGGTAGGCGGGTGGAGTAGGGTGGTAGGCGGGTGGAGTAGGGTGGTAGGCAGGTGGAGTAGGGTTGTAGGCGGGTGGAGTAGGGTGGTAGGCGAGTGGAGTGGGGTGGTAGGCGGGTGGTGTAGGGTGGTAGGCGGGAGGAGTAGGATGGTAGGCGGGTGAAGTAGGGTTGAAGGCCGGTGGAGTAGTGTGGTAGGCGGGTGGAGTAGGGTGGTAGGCGGCTGGTGTAGGGTGGTAGGCGGGTGGAGTGGGGTGGTGGGCGGGTGGTGTAGGGTGGTAGGCGGGTGGAGTGGGGTGGTAGGCGGGTGGAGTAGGATGGTAGGCGGGTGAAGTAGGGTTGAAGGCCGGTGGAGTAGTGTGGTAGGCGGGTGGTGTAGGGTGGTAGGCGGGTGGAGTGGGGTGGTAGGCGGGTGGTGTAGGGTGGTAGGCGGGTGGAGTGGGGTGGTAGGCGGGTGGAGTAGGGTGACCAGTGGGTGGAGTAGGGTTGAAAGCAGTTGGAGTAGTGTGATCGGCGGGTGGAGTAGGGAGGTAGGCGGGTGGTGTAGGGTGATAGGCGGATTGAGTATGGTAGTAGGCGGATGGAGTAGGGTGGTAGGCGGATGGAGTAGGGTTGAAGGCGGATGGAGTAGGCTTGAAGTCGGGTGTTTTAGGGATATTGATGGGAGGAGTGGGGTGGTAGGTGGGTGGAGTAGAGAGACCGGTGGGTGGAGTAGGGTTGAAAGCAGATGGAGTAGGGTGGTAGGCGGATAGAGTAGGCCGGTAGGCGGATGGAGTAGGGTGGTAGGCGGGTGGAGTAGGGGAAGAATGCTGCCGGCTGTGTTATGTGCTCCACATCTCCTCTGTTTCCCTGAAGCCTGTGTGATCTCGTGTATATATTGGACAACATTCACCAACTGAGTTCGTGTACGCTGTTCGTTTACGTTATACGAAATCGCGGCGGCATCAACTTTCTTTAACGTGATTCCAATACCAAGCACCATTTTTCACAAACAAAGCAAACTTGATATGGACACAATTTCCATGTACATTATCGTCCCAGGGAAAGCAGTAAAACTCCTGTCTTTGAGGTTTGTTGCTTGTTGATATGTTACCGGATATCGTGTTAATGCATGTGTGTAACCAGAGATTATATGAGGAGTAGGTTAAGGCGTTGGAGAGTCCTAGTTTATTTCATGTACCCAAATCACGCGATATTGTATGTTCCGCTTGATAAACAAGGTCATGGTCACTTCTCTTGCTTCAAAAGGACCCAACCTGTGTTTTTTCCTTGCCCCGGTGTAATTGATTTGTCTTGGTCTTAACACGGCTGTATCACGTGACATGGACTTATCAGCTGACAAGTGGTTTTCTTTCACAGGGTCGGGGTGAATGATTCAGATTATGCTTGCCGCTCAGAAGGACGTCTTCGTGACGAGAGCACAATTTAAGGTTCTTAACAATTTGCTGTGTGAAGTAAATCTTGATCAGAATAGTATTGGGAATTGGAAGCTGTTTTATGAACTGTTTAAATTCCCACTGATGTGTATGTATATTAACTGAATATACACTCCACTATGAAACTTGGTATATTTGTAAAATATCCATTATGAAACTTGGTATCTTGTAAAATATTTAAAGACCCGTGAAGATCCGGAGTAGAATTAGTCCTCCGCAACCCATGCTTGCGTAAAAGGCAACTATGCTTGTCGTAAGAGGCGACTAACGGGATCGGCTTCTCAGGCTTGCTGACTTGGTTGATGCATGTCATCGTTTCCCAATTGCGTGGATCGATGCTCATGACGTCAATCATTGGATTGTGTGGTCAAGACTCGATTATTTACGGACCGCAGTCATGTAGCTGGAATATTGCTGAGTACGGCGTTAAACAACAAATAGACACCAGAACAAAAATATTTACCGGCGAGGTTCCCCGACGTTTAGCCATAATATTTTCACGCAGTTGCATAAGGAGATTACATTATCATACTAGTGGACATTGATGGTCTGACCTTTCCGGAAGTAGTCCACCAGTAGGATTCCTTTGGATTCCAAGAAAACCAAAGCCACCACCTTGCCAGCTGATGGAACGGACTTCACTTTCTTCTTCTGAGCAGACGGAAGACGCCTCCACGGATTGGTTGTTTAGTCGCTGGCTGATACTGGTGAACCGAAACCTCCTCATCTATGGTTACAAATCGCTCAACAAACTCAACAGGTCTGCTTCAAAACGGCATAAGTTCTCACAGGAGATGATGAGCCTGGAGCATTTCTG